GTCTCAATCAAATAAATGGCCGTAGCGGGGGAAAATGTATTCTATCGGGCTTATAATAATCAACCTTAAGAAACTTGGCCCAGAGATTTCTTCTTTTTTGTTCTCTCTCTCTCGGGTAAGAGGAAAAACTCGAGAGCAATGATTTTTAATGAATAAATTTACATCTAACATCGAGAAACTTAAGGAGCCGCTTGTTTCAAGAGACAAGAGCTTATAACAAAACGAGGTGAATATTCATAAAATCTTCTTTCCTTTTTTGTAATAGAATTTAAAGAAATCAGCCATAAATTTAACTCATTGCGTCAATTAGAAAAAAATATAATCATTAATTGATTAACATCTATTTTTTTAAGGCTAAAGCAAAATACACCCTGTGGAAAAATTGATGCATCAAATCATAGCATTTAAAATATATAAAAAATAAAAAAATATAATCAAGCTTTCCTACATAGAAACAAATTAGTTCGCAACACAACTATTTAATAATAAATAAAATTTGTTGCAAGCATATAACAGTTTTTCAGCATATTTGGTTGCCAAACGAAAATACGAACATTAGTACAATAAGCACTTCAAGCAGCGTGAGATTTCTAAATAAATGAGTTTCAGACATATACCTGCTATCCTATATTTATTATTTTGATTAGATTATTTGAAAAACCTTGATTTTAGAGCGTACCAAAATAAAAAATGTTTCTCAGTCTCATGCCAAGATGTCAGACTCAAGGTGTCGCACGTGTTGGAGGGGTGTATAGGGACCGAAATTGAATACCGCCGGATTATACGAGAGTGCTCAAACATGGCAGCGGGTTTTAGGAAAAACGTTTTAGGTTTTAATTGGGATAATGAGTTGTATAGCTTTCTTCAGTCAAATTGGTACTTTTTTCTACCAATTTAATACTTTTCTCAAGCAATTTCATATTTTTCCCAACCAAATTACTACCTTTTTCAAGCAAGTTAATACTTATTTAAAAGGTATTCGAAAAAAATGTGGAGCATAGCGTCAATCATGACGTGTTGCCGTATGAAACACATTAGCTGGTTTCGTTTGAGCTTGTCTCACTTATTTGATTGAGTTCGCCATCCTTCCTTATCATTCCCAGACGGATTTCTAGGAAATTATCCTTCCCCTGTTCTTGATTTCTTTACCCCTAAAATATTCAGTTGTTTGTCACGTCTTATTGTATGCATTTCGTGAGTTTTATATGTATAGAATGAGTGACGGAAGTGACTGGAGTGATATAAGTGGTCATAATGATGAATCATCACCTAGTGCTGCAGGCGGTTCATCTTCGTCCGGTGTCCAACGTTCAAGACCGAGCAGGGGTACGTACGCAGTTACATCAAGGCATCAAAAAGAACTTTTTATAAAATTAGTTGAAGAGGGTCATTCAGTCAAAGATGCAGCTCAAAAATCAAATTTAAAAACTCGAACTGGCTACCGTTAGTAATTAAAAAAAGAGGTGGACCCCGGCTGCCCAAGTTGACCCCTGACGTTCTAGCCGCTGTTGAGAAAATCATTGAAGGAAACGCGGGCTTATCATTACAAGATATTACAGAACAGCTTGCGTTACGCAACATAAATTTGTCTATTTCTTCAATACACCCGAGGGCTAACGTCATTAAAAATAACTTTGAAGCATGCGTCCATTGAAATAGATCGCATGAATTCTTGATTCGCATGAGTCAACGGTACAACAACGAAGGCAGTTTGCAATGGATTTTGAAATATGGGTCCCCCAAAATCGCGCAAAATTAATTTTTATAGATGAATCGGGATTTAATCTACATTTGCGGCGGACACGTACACGTTCAAGGGTTAACACGAGAGCTGTTGTCACTGTACCAACAGTTCGTGGACGCAACGCGACTCTCGTTCTTGCTATAAATAATCAGCAGGTAGTAAATTATTCTGTAATTAGTAGTGCGAACTGTAACAGTAATTTATTTTGCGATTTCCTACATGATCTTTGCGAGAGACTTAATGCAATGGAGCTGAACAACTCTATTCTGATGGATAATGCAGCCGCACAGAACGCAAGATGTACGCAATGTTGTAGAATCGTTTTCTCACACCATCTTGCCTCCATATTCCCCAATGTTAAACCCAGCTGAAGCTTTTTCTAAAATAAAGGCATCAGCCAGGAGGTTTTCGGTGGGACAGCTGCAGAACACGACATTGCAGAAGTAATTAGTTGCAGTGTCAACACCATCAATTCTACAGATTGCTCCAATTTTGGCATCGATGTGATACTGAAATCCAGCGGTTGCTGGATGTCCCCTGCATCGATTTTGAAATAAATGGTTCATTTTGTTAATTTTCTTATTTTCAATAATAAATTTCGTTTCTTGACAATATGATTGTGTTCAATATCCCCCTTTACCCCACCACATTTTAAAAGTATTAAATTGCTCGGGAAAAGTATTAATTTGCTTGGGAAAAGTATTAATTTGCTTGGGAAAAGTATTAATTTGCTTGGGAAAAGTATTAATTTGCTCGGAAAAGTATTAATTTGCTTGGGAAGGGTACTAAGTTGGTTGGGAAAAGTATTAAATCGCTTGGGAAAAGTACTAATTTAGTTGGAAAAAGTATTAAATTGGTACAAAAAAGTAACAATTTAACTGAAAAAATAGTGGGGTATTTATTTCATAGGTTAAAGTTTAGATTTAGTTTATGTTAGAATAGGAGTATGCTGGGCGGCGGTGCAGCGTATTATTTCAAGGCTCCACCGGTGCTCCGCTAAGCCGGGTCGGGGCGGAATATCGAGTACCCTCCCTAGTACCCTAGACAGAGGATATGCATGTGTGATTGGATTTGTATATTGGAGTATATATGTATTTATTGTGTGAGTGAGAATGACTAGTCTGAGAGAACATAAGTGCGCCGAAATGACCAAAGAAGACGATGGTGCCCGTCTAGAGCCCAACCTCGGAGTCGCTCGGGCACCAAGGTGGGTGACTCCCCCAGATCTATCAGGGAGAGGCCAGAGGCCTCCTAGGAGTTCTCGAAATTCTATTTTCTCTACAATGACTAACTTTTTTAAACTATTACTATTTACTACCCTTGACATTTCCACAATGGCAGATGAGTCAGAATGTATCGGGCGTCAGAATGGTTAGTAAAAACTGATGGAGCAATGTAAATGAATAGCATCGTTGTTTCATATGTAGAGGAAACCATAACCTTTTATATTAAAATCTATTCAAGCAACCAATAGATATTTAATATTAAATACCTAGAAAAGTTATTTCAATGGGAAATAAGCTCATCTCTGGGTTTGGGTTTACGGTGAGTTTAATGGAAATTTGGTTGTATGAATCAATTTGAGTTATATATTATTAATCACGAGAGACTAGGAATTTACACCCAAAGTCCACGTTGAACGTAATTTATTGCAGCTTAAAAACGCATTTTATGGTAAAAGCGTTATAATGAACGAACTAAAATTAACTTCTCTGTCCAACGATTAGCACAGACTGAGTTCACTCCATCCACGGTTTTAACCTCATCACTTCAAACATCCTACAATTTAAAAAAAAAAAGCCGTTTACAATCAGTCTTAAGAACCACCTACTTTTCGATCTAATTAAAATTATTTATTTAAAAAAAAAACGTAAAAATAACGTCAGTATTATGCGCAAATCGTGAGATGCGGTTTGGTGTGATGTAGGTTTCAGAAAAACATTTTCTTTATCGTGCCAACGTTTCGATCTTTATTGAGATCATCTTCATGCCTGGGATTTACATACATTGTTTAAATTTATCAAAAACATGTAGAATGTGGAAAAAAGTGAATTTATACAGTGCAAATAAATATTTGCGCATCCTACATGTTTTTGATAAATTTAAACCTTTGTAAATCCCAGGCCTTGAAGTTGATCTCAATAAAGATCGAAACGTTGGCACGATAAAGAAAATGTTTTTCTGAAACCTACATCACACCAGACGGCATCTCACGATTTCTGAATAATCATCGAAAAACGGTCACTAATCACCACATACCAATGTAGAAAGTGTGGGGCCGGTACGGAGACGAACTCCCATGTCATTTCCTCGTGTCCTGAGAATCACTCAAAGATAGTGAGAAGGCACGATGAGTTCCTCCAGGTCCTCGTGCCCGGTCTCCGTGAAACAGGCTACCAGGTTGCTTCGAAGCTCTCCATCGGACACCTGATGGGACGATGGGACGAGACGTCCTCGCGACCGAGGAGGATAGGGTTAGACCTCGCCGTCGCGTATGAGATCGCGGCCGCGTTGGAAGCGGTAGCGGACCTCAAGGCGCGAAAGTACGGGGTCTTGAGGGAAGCCCTCACGGAGCTGAACCGGAAGAGATATTTTTTGGCGACCGGTGTAGTAGTGGGTGCGAGAGGATGCATCCCTTAGCAAACCAAGAAGACGCTCAAGGACCAATGAAAAATCTGCCGAGGTTGCTCCTCACCCTCTCCCTTACTGCCTTGAGATCCTCCTGCGGTCATATTGATCGGATTTTGGAGACCCCGCTGTCGAGCAACACCCACCGGAAGCTCCGGACCTGCATAGTCTACGGAACACTCGATTGGACCTGAGGTGCTGGTAAATTTGGGAAGTATATCCTCACACTACAGGATAGAACAACTGGCAGAGGGCGGAAAGACGTTAATTTTTATTTAATCAGGAAAAAATAGTAATTTGGTGACATTTCCGACCATCCATCACGGAATTTTACTTAGAAAAATCTTGTAATTATCTTTTGTCATGCAAAATTTTTACCCCATTTTGTACTTAGCTAATTAAACAAGGCTAACATGCCTTTATGATTGTGTTGACAAGTTAATGGTTTGTAAAACATCGCTTAGACGCGGTTTAATGAACATGAATCTTAACTATCCAAGACCTAATTGCTGGCCTATACGCCAAAAAAAAAAAAAAAAAAAAAAAAAAAATTGTAGCAATATAAAATAAAATAAAAAACGCTTGCTCTCTGCCGTACATTTCACTAATTGTAATTAATTATAGGTACCTTCGCTGTATTGGACGAGTAAGGCTCGTCGAAGAGGGACCAGAGCTGAGGTTTGAGTCGCTGCCACCAGGACACAGTGCCATTGAAGTAGTCTTCCTCGAAGCCGAACTTCCTTGCCATCTCTTCGTCACTCGGCTTTTCCGAATCCAGATCCAACCTGTCCAGGACTGCCAGGGTCTCCTGCGTGTCTCGATGCTGAAAACGTAAAAGTACAATTACAACAGTGTAACATTGAACCAAAAAATCAAGGCTTATATCGAGACCTATTATTTTCCCAAATATGCAGCTTTTATTACTTTTGTGCTTTTAATTTTTTTCATGATTTACTAACTAATTTTACTAACTTTATATATTTATATGATAGTTAGGTATACATCATATAGGTACATCATTGCTATCTGCCAAACAACTCAATTTGATTGATCATTTTAGGTCTTTCGACGAACTTTTGAAACTGATGCAAAACCTGAATAATAAATTATAACCCAATGAAAGACAAAGGTAGGAAAAAGCTAAATGCCTTTTCCAGGGAGCCTTTGACAAATTGTTTTTTGAGCTGGTCGGTTATCGCAGTTCGAGTTGAGCCGGGAAATTTCCCGTTTTAGTTTTCCTTTATGAGTGAAAAACCCCATTCATTCTTAAAACAAACTTCAGAGCTATTAGGAGACCGGCTGGGAAATGGGTGTGGACAATATTTATTCGGAAAACAATGTTATTTTCACCATCCCACGGTCAAAAAGGAAAGTTTTTTTTCACTCTGGAAACGTTACAACGGGTCTGCTTTTTAAAGCAGGATCAATTAAGTTTTTTTCTCGACAAAATGAAATGGAAGTACAGATTGTTACAGAAAGACAAATTTTGATAGTAAACGACTATAAAGTGTGGGATTTAAACAACGACATGAAAAACAACTACTACTCGTCCCTCTTTATGTTGCAACTTTCTATACTTTTGTAACCATCGCGGTTATAAAAAGCCTTAAAGGTATATAGTATGTTGTTTTTATATTATTATTTTTTTAATATTATTGTTATTTAGAAGCGTGGAGGCAAATGATTGCTTAACCCCACCCCGAGGAATATCAATATAGTATTTCAGGACTTCAACTTATTTTTCATAAAAAGGTACAGTCTGACAGATCGAGAAGTTCAAAACGCATCAGGTTGAAAACAACGCGTGAATCACCAGGAAAAGAAATTTGGTTATTTGTAATAAGATTAGAAATAAACTTGTCGGCAATTATGTCAAATTTTTAAATAATATTCCTGCAAATTTTCACAAGCCTTTTGAATACAGATAAAAAATGAAATTGTCAATTTTACAGTTGGTGGAGCATTTAAAATTGTTGAACTTTTGATTGAATGTGTTTAATCGATTAGCCTTCTTGGATCAGATTTTCTTCCGCTCTGATCATGGCAAAATTATTTCAACAAAAATAACCTTTAATCTAGTAGAACAACTTAACAAAAAACGAAATTCCTTTCATAGTCATAGAAACATAAGAAAATTATGAAGTAATTGAACTGATATTTCAAGCAATATCTTTCGCCACAGATATAAATTCACTATTTTTTCGTGGTCCGCTTGACCAATTAATAACATTAAATTAATTAAGGTTTTAAGTTGAGATAAAAAAGTCAGTGTCACGAGCGGGATTCGAACCGTCGACCTTCGGCTTGATACCCGCTACTCTACCACTTGAGCTATCGTGACTTCGATCCCTTCGGGCACTAACTTCCCATCTCAACAACGTGACACTGACTTTTTTATCTCAACTTAAAACCTGAATTAATTGACAGATATAAATTTTACCTGATATTGAGAGATGACAGCGAACACCAGGAAAATATCAAGAATTCGATAAAACCGAAATTATGATAGTCTTGGGCATGTTATCTAATAACTGGATTTAATACGTATGCTCTTAGCCCTAAACTGCTCTGGCGCGAGTATGAGACAAGCTAAGAGATTCGTAAATCTCTCGACAAGGAAGTCAAAGGAATGACTCTCTCAGCAGGCAATATTTGAAAAAATTATGGGCAATTGACCCTCTTAACTACCACCTAAGAAAGACTGCGCAGAGCAGACACGTAAACATAACTGTAATAATGTAATTACCTAATTTTCACACCAAACTTTTGTGAACAAAAGCCCACTTCCACGATATTACTGCTACAATAGATCTATGTGCATCGTAGTAGAGATAAGGTCTGAATCCTTGACCCTCTCCCACCCCAAAAAATATTAAATTGGTTTAACCACAGTCCAGCCTGAGACAAGACAAAAAATAAAGCAAAAAGAAAGTCATGAAAAATTGAAGTTACATCTTTTAACAACTTGTTATAATCAACCTGAAATTTTTGACGTAATGTAATTTGATGACACATAGATATATTTACAACTATTGACATATTTAGTAAAAAGCAATATTATTCTCTCACCTCACTTCATTAAATAAATATTCAGAAATCGTGAGATGCGGTCTGATGTGATGTAGGTTTCAGAAAAACATTTTCTTTTGAGATCATCTTTAGGGCTCAATAAAGATCGAAACGTTGGCACGATAAAGAAAATGTTTTTCTGAAACCTACATCACACCAGACCGTATCTCAAGATTTCTGAATAATTATCGATTAACGGTCACTAATCACCACACATTAAATAAAGTTCACTCCCTGATTCTCAGAAAGGAGGAGGACCATTTCCTCTTAAGACACCTGAAGATTATGGGTTCTATTGGACATGGCATGAACGAGTGTTTTCGTTGATGTTAAGTATGTGATTGTGGATCTTGGTAAATTTTTAGGAAATTAAAGTTTGGATAAATGGGATTTTATGGTAGTTGTAGAAGGTATTTTTGGAGACGTAATGCGGACCATTCGTAATTGACCTGAAGATTTTGGACTGAAAGTATTGGAGACGTTGGATACTGGAAGGCTTCACCGTTCTATTCCGTATGTACGGTTGTAGTTTGTTTCTAGATACGTTGTAGTACGTTTTGTAGATTATAAGTAAAAAAGCAATATTATGCTCTCACCTCACTCCATTAAATAAAGTTCACTCCCTACTTCTTCGAAAGGAGGTCGCAGGACCATTTCCTCTTGAGACACCTGAGGATTATGGATTCTGTTGGACATGGCATGGGTCTTTTGGGTGATGGGAAAGTATGTGATTGTGGATCTTGGTAAATTTTTAGGAAATTAACGTTTGGATAAATGGGATTTTAACATAGTTGTGGAAGTTATTGTTGGAGACATAATGCGAAGCATTCGTAATTGATCTTAGGGTTTTGGACGAAAGTATTGGAGACGTTGGATACTGGAAGGTTTCACCGTTCTATTTCGTATGGTTGTAGTAGTGTTTTGTAGATTATAAGTTTGTTTCTCGTCGATTGCTTGGATTGCTGCCATATGTATTTGTAAATTAGACCGTAGAGTCGGTTTAGGTCTTGTCGTTTCAGTGGTGAGGTAGATGACATAACATGATAAGGTTCTACGTGGAACCAAAGTAAACGAACTCAGTCGGATTTGGGGAACATTGTAGTAGGATATTGTGGAAAGAGATTTCATTCGGAGTGTAAATTTTTTCTTGAGATTTTTTCTCGCCACCTTCGAACCATTTCTGAAAAAGACCTCGTCTATCAATGCAGTAATGTTTCGATACATATATAAAAAAATTGTCTCTCATACCTATAGTAGTATTTGAGATATAATCCTTTTTGTGCTTAAAAACGTCGTTTTTCGGAATGATAAATTTTCTCAAAATAAACCCGTATTGCTTTTCGATAGCTTGGAAGAAAGAGATGTATATCTTTCTCACTTCTAGGAGCGTTTACTAGATGTTTATGGTGGTCAACGTTTTGTTCACGGTTTTTGAATGAGAATTTAGTCTTTTTTTGTGTCTGCTATTACAATAAAAATAAAAACGAAGGCACTTATAATTCGTAAGGGAAAGCTTACCCTGAGGGAATCTGGAGCAATAACTCCTTACCAAAAATGCTTAAAAATAAAATAAATATACTTCAGGCTATCAGAATCGTGTCTGCTTTTAAAATTTCAAGGAAGAGTTGCAGTTTTTTAAAAGATTAAAAACAAAATATTGATTTTTTACCATTAATTCTGGCTTTTTTCCCCTTAAGAAGAGAAAGGTTGCACGATGTGACACACATGATAGAAGCTTGTTATGGCTTATCACCGTATAGAGAGCGTGTAGGCATGCCCTAAATTTAAGAATAGTCCTTGGATAAAATACACAGTTTCCTGTTCTGCTTTTTGGAGGACGTGGTTGTTTTTATTGTATGAATATAGATCTGTTTTATGTGATTCATTTGAGTGCGTGTATTTATTAGTGTGAGCAGTGGTGGGTTGACGGTGAAAAATAGCGTCACCATCGCTTCTTCAGCTGCGTTTGTGTCTCTTGGGCATCTGGCTTAAGGGGGATAAGATAGATAGAACTTGTCCTTGGAATAATCCAATAAAAATAACGGTTTTTACAATTCACAGGTCATTCCGAAATTTTAAGTTGTTACTTGAAGCAATATTAAAAATTTAGGTTCTTTTTTATGATGTAAGAAAATGTAGGATATAAAATTTAGTCTCGACCGAATAATATCTTACTAATAGTAAAACGATCGGTTTGCTTGAAAGGAAACCCTTTTTTATCTGAGAGCCTCTTTACAACTGGACGTAAGGATTCCTCGGCAGAAGTGGCGAGGGTCTTAAAAAATCTCCGAGTCTCTCTTCACAAATTCAAAGAGGTTTTTCGAAAGCGGGTCTGACATTTATACGATTCACGTCAGGTGTTTCGTTGGCCCCTCACGGCCCAGTAGATATCTGAGGATTTTTCAGAATTTCCGATTTGGCATCGCTGGCCACTTGTCGACACGATTGTACGACACGATGAGGTAGTTTTTTATATAATATTTTCTTTTATTTTGTACTACTACGTGATCATTTCTTAGCTTAAAGAATATAAAAACCAACAAGCGATATCGTCGTTCAATTGTAAACAATCGGACCTAAAATAAGTTTACAACTCCAAACTGATTGACAATCAGTAAATTCAATAAAACTTTAATAATTTTTTTTTACAATATTTTGTTTTTCAGGGAAAACCCGCGTTACTGTTGAAATAAATCTTATATAGAAACTCATTATATTATTTTTATAATTTTTTGTTCATACTGCCACCTTTCA